CAGCAGCACCAGCAGCACCAGCACCAACGACAACACCAGCACAAACGCCAATATCAGCAGCATTACCTACAACACCACACAGCAGCACCACCAACAAGAACGAGCAGGATGACGACAGCAACAACAACAACGACACAGCAACGATACCGACAATGCCAACCACAACAGCACCAGCAGTAACAACAACTACTGCTACTTCCATTCTACTGCTACTGCTGCTGCTGCTGCTGCACCTGCTACCACCACGACTACGGCTGGCCGTGTTCTTTCGTTCCGAGAGTGACTGATAGAGGCTGGGCATGTGCATGAAAGCGCACCGAACAAGGCAGCAGCAACTGCAACAGCAAGCAAATTAGCACAAGTAGCAGCAATGTAAAGATCGAATGTCAGGCGTGTCTAGTGTTCAGTGCGTCCGAGGCTCCAGTGTTCTCGAAGAATATTACGAGCACGCATATTATTCCTATCATGGCAGCTAGACGTTGCTGGTAAGAACTTCCTATCGAAGAAACATATGATGAGCACTATTGTTGCCTCAAGCCCCGCTGACCTGCCGGTCCAGGTAAACGAGGCATTCCAGCAGATTGCATTTGCGGATAAGGCGGGCGAGACATCCTTACTTGGACAGTCTTTCACATGTCTGTCAGGTCGAATGCGGTTGTCGGTTCCCCTCCTTCCTGTCCCTTTTGATCATGTTTCTTAACCCTAACCCTAAACCCTAAACCCTAAACTCTAAGCAGTATATCATTTCCCCGCGCCAGATCATCCTCAACAAGCTGGACCTGGTGACGTCTGACCAGGCCATCAGCATTAAGGCTGGGCCGCGTGGGTCGCCGACTGGCATGCTGCCGGCCCAGGATTTAGGAGTTCGGGCACGCGGTTTTTGGTCCTACGCAACGTGTGATTGTAGTGTTCAGGGCTGAAGCTTGGGAGTTCCATCCAGGCAGGACCGCCTGTAACACGGCAACCACGACCCCAAAACCGAAGCTAAAACCAAAGCACTGACAACCTAAACCCTGAAGCCTGGGCAACCCAGCCCCGAACATCTTGATGGAAGAGAGATGATCAGTGCATCCGTGCCTGCACCGATGCCCACTCGATCTTCGCGATGAGGAGTAACTCTGCTAGTTCATTCAAACTACGGCGGTCTCAAAGCACTGGCAGTTTGGTCGCCTGTCGAAGTCAAACTGTCCAGGAGAAGATCAGGAACATCAACAAGTATGCGAAAATTGTGCCGGCAGTGAAAGGCCGAGTCAAGGCTGGGCGGGTATGAACTTTTCGTTGAGGTTGTGTTGGTCTGTGACAGGGAAGAGGCTGGAGAGAATGCAGGCATTCGCGAAGCCTTCGGTCCAGTAGTACCGTGGTGCCATAAGCGCTGACACTGACACCATTGAAACGGCACATAAGAGGTGCCCATCAGAATATGTGTAGTTCCGAGGCAGCTATATCATAGGGGATACTGATACCTCCATTCCGCTGGCAACGGCAGAGCACGTGCCGACCATGTCCTCAGAGCACTGCATTAACTGTTGGAGTCTTTAGATTGACTTTGTTGAGACCGCACACATCTCCCCTGACATTCTGCCATGATGGCATCATGTTATGAACATGCGATGGTGTCACAACGTTGATGGCAATGCAAAATCACACCACCGGAGGCCCCAAACAGCTCCCGCATGCAGGGAGACAAGAGGAGACAAGCGCCGAACTCCCCGGCATGGAGTAGTGCGAAATTTGGGCACTCCCTTCAAACCAGCATTCACCTTCACAGTAAACTGTTTGCGGATATACCCATGACACATGTTTGCATCGCTGTTTTGACTCTGCTGCAGTGCTGTGTTTCAAGCAGGCTCTTCTTCCCCCGTGTTGGATCATCACAACAGCTTTCCTACGTGCACCTCGATGTTTTGACACCCGCAGCAGCAATATGTCCGAGCTCATTTCCTGACTGAGATGCGCGAAGACAGCTTCCTTTCATTGTTGACGTTTCTCGCGTGTTGCAGTGGGCCTTGTAGTTAACGCTGATAGTAGTTCTTATTCAAAGTAACCTATCTGCTGGTCTGTGCCCAGATGACGGAGCTTTGCAACATGCGGGCCCACGTTGCTGGTCGGCATTCGGGCCTGGGTGCAGAGTTCCTTTACGGGGGTTGTTCCAATTGTGGATTTCCGGAAGTTCCAGATTCAGATCTTGTTTTCTGGGGGCTCTCCAGGCAGGATAAACTTATCGTAGACTGAGTCATTCCGCCAGTCGAAGATCGTCAATTCAACTCCTTCCCCAGCAGGTCGAACGAGACAGTTCCCCCCTGACAATCTTGAGCTGTGTGGCTCTGCAGCAAGCTGCATCCAAAAATAACATTCCTTGGACTTAGAGTGACCTGGCGTTTGTCCAAGGATATCGTCAATTTCGTCGAGCAGGACATCGAGGTCGAGAAGGCGGATATAGAGGCAGGGTGGCTAAGGATTTCAAGGGTACCTGCACCCTGCCTTCAACCCTGATGACCCTGACAACCCCAGTCTCCCCGATCACCCTAACCGTCCAGATGATCAAGTCGTACAGCTGCCAATAGAAACCGGTCTCGGGTTTCCGCACCCTGATCCGGATCCTCAAGAGTTTCGTCAGTAGGATCCTCCGGCAAGACGCGTGGGTACTGGCCATGAATCGATGAACTGCTCTATCATGCAATGCGGCAAGTCTCAGTAGCAGGCAGCTGAGGAGCCTCATACAGCTTGCATGAAAAGTTGGTAGCTACTGCACCACCGCTCTCTTGTGGTCGTGTCTCAGCGCCGGTTCACCTCAGAACTTGTGCGTAGGGTCTGTCCCTCAATCGTTGTGTCAGTTCCGTGCCCGGTGTTGTTCTGGCTGCTGTTGCTACTGTTGTTATGATTGGTGTTGTGAATGCGGTTGTGCTGTGCTTGTGATTGTGGTCGCGGTTGTCCTTGTCGTCGTCGTCGTGGTCGCTGCTGCTGCTGCTGCTGCTGTTGCTGTTGTGCTTGGTTGGTTGGTTGGTTGGTTGGGTCGGTTGTGGTTGTGGTTGTGGTTGCGGCTGTGGTTGTGGTTGTGGTTGTGGTTGTGGGTGTGGGTGTGGTTGTTGTGTTTGTGGCTGTGGCTGTGGCTGTGGCTGTGGCTGAGGCTGTGGTTGCCGTTGTTGTTGTTGTTGTTGTTGTTGTGGTCGTGGCCGTTGTGGTTGTCGTGGTCGTCGTGGTCGTCGTGGTCGTCGTGGTGGTGGTGGTCGTCGTCGTCGTCGTCTTTGTTTTTGTGGTCGTTGTCGTCGTTGTTGTGGTGTTGGTGCTGGTGGTGGTGTTGTGATGGTGAACTGTTGTCCGCTGGCCGTGTTCCTACTGCCATGGCTGTGGCGATGATGATGAGCATGACAATGAGGGTGATGTTGACGAAGACGAGGATGGTGCTGCTGCAGTGTTGCGGCGGGTGCTGGGGTTGGCCTTCGCGTGGCTGATGGTCATGGTGTTGGGGCAGTATTCCGTTGCTGATGTTGATGGGGATGGTAGCGACGGTGATGAATGGGAAGCAGAAGATGGCAGGGATGATGCCGCTGCAGATGATAATGGTGATGGTCATGATGTTGATGGTGATGTTGATGATGTTCATGATGACGATGATGACGATTGCCATGTTGAATTGGTGTTGTTGAAATTGACCTGGAGGAGACTGCAGTCAGAGGCAGTTTCGTAAGCCCGTAGGCAGCAGTAGCTTCGGCCAGAGCAGCTGCAAGAAACACATCAGCGGCAGCAACAGCGGAAGCACACGCAGCGCCGGCGGGTGTCAGCCGCAGTAGTCGTCGTCGTCGTCGTCGTACCACAGCTGCCGCTGCTGCTTTTTTTTCGCAGTTGTTGTTTTGTTGTCGTCGCAGTCTTCGTCGTTGTTTCTATTGTTCCCGTGCTGGTCGGCTTTAGCGGAGAACTATTTTTGTTGCTATCGGTACTTTCATTGTCGCTGTGTGCATTTGGTCTTGTGGCTTTGCATAGAATCTTGCCAGGAGAAAGAGGAAGGACATGGACACGGCGAGCGGCTCAGAGATGCGTGGATGAGGGCTCTCGGTTGTGGAGTGCAATGCTCGGGGCCGAGTTGCCCCTCAAGGCTTCGGGGTCTGGGGCATTAACCAGCAGGATCTACCATGAGACATTAAGATATCTTCACCTTCGCTCTAGAAATCCCGTGTGTTGCAATCGTGGTATCAGTGTAGCACTTATGGCCCCTGCAGTAGATTTAGCACGCGAACATGTTTTGGTCATACACCGTCGTAGAGCGGAGGCTCGTATTCAATCGCACTTTGGATGTTCATGCCTTGGGCCTTAGACAGCCGCAACTGGATCGAAACCAATCGGACAAGCAGAACAGGTCGAAATGTGCAAGTCTATGATACATACAGCCTTAAGGCCGACACTCCCAAAATCTGCATAAGCCTCCAGCCCGCACTTGTTGCACCCGTGGAGTTTAGAGCTTAGGGTTTAGTCTTGGGGCTGCAATCGCTTCTTTCATGCCCCGTCAGGGCTTCTGCCTAGCCGGAAACGCAGCCCTAACCCGGACACCAAGCGCAGCTTGCATGTAATTCATGGTCTCTATACATATTTAGACGATGACCGTACTTGGCATACTCTCAAACATTATGTGGATGATTAGGGACCGTACAGTAGATTGCCCAGCTTGTGAGGTGGACATGGTGGCCATGAGGCCTGGAAGTGCAAGACGTACGAATAGGAGGGAAAGGAATATGGAGGATATCACGGGAGAGCGGTGAAGGCCCGTGCGGCTTAAGTTGACATGTCTAGCTCTGAAGGTTCGTACGTGAAGTAGCACCGCACAGTCCTTCCCATGTACCCAAGTAACCGAACTTTCCCAGAAAGTACCCGCCGTCACTGCCATTGTGTTTGTCGCTGCAAGTACTATTGCTGCTGCTATTGCCCCGGCTTGCCCTGACTTTCATACTTTGGGCCTCTTGTCGCACTTCTACTTCTACTACTACTACTACTACGACGACGACTACTACTACTGCTACTACTGCTACTACTACTACTACTCCTCCTCCTGCTGCTGCTGCTGCTGCTGTTGATGCTGCTGTTAATGCTGCTGCTGCTGCTGCTACGACTACCACTAGCACGACCACTACTATCACCACTACCACTACTACTTCTAGTAGTACGGTAGTAGTAGCCGTCGTCGTAGTAGTAGTAGTAGTAGTAGTAGTACGTACGTACGACTATTACTACTAGTACTCCGCCTCCTCCTCCTCCTCCTCCTGCTGCCGTGGCTGTTATCAGTAGGTGCTACCAGTGTCACCGTTATCGGTGCAATTTGTATCGCAGCCCAATAGTCTTTTGGCACGCCACTCTCGTCACGTAGCTGCCACCGCTGTTCTGATGCCGTTGCTGCACTACATCGATACGGTTGTTTGCCAAGACTACCATCATCATCGTTGCTTCTTGTCGATGGTGTTGTTCACATCAGCGTTGCTATCATATCATAACGACGCCCGCAATGGCGTTGAGCTTTCTGGCTGACTGCATAGTGTCATTCACGCCCTAGCAAGGGCCACGGTGGACACGATGGTCATGGCGAAGGCCACGGCCATGATGAGAACTGCACGGAGGACATGGCTTGTGATCCGTGGCTGAGCCCTACCGCGTTCCGCTAGTAGACTCAACACCTGAGCCCCACGCCACACAAGCTCGAGCTTGAAACTTCAGCCTTCGTTGAACCTGGGACCCGCAAAGCGTTCTGCAGTGCCAGAAATTGAGGCATAGTAGCAACAGCAGCCATTGCAGCAGCAGCAGCAGCAGCAGAAGTATGCAGAAGCAGAGTAGTGGCAGTGGCAGTAGCAGTAGTAGCAG